TGTGGATTAAACAGGATCACAATAACAAAAATTCAAATATTGAAACATTTAGTACGTAAATGAAAGGTCGTATATTTCAAGCTTGTAGTTACAGGTTTGGTGAAAAATCTAAAATGTATATATAGTAGGTAACTCAAATTGTAAAAAAAAAAATAATTGTGTGCTGTTTGTCGTAACAGACATATCTTGATTCGCTACTACGGTTAATGCCGGCCTAACGAAAGCACTCTTCATTATCGATAGGTTCGTTAAGGATTTGGTCCTGAACAAACTGTCCCTGTCAAAGAAATCTAAGAATATGTTAAAAAAGCTAGTTTATGGCACTTACGGTGTGCTCAGCTCCTTACCGTTGACAAATATACTACATCACTGAAGGCAGAAATGTACGTGACGGTCCAGGCAGCATACCCAAACGTTGTTTGGCCGGATCATAGCGTCATAAGCAGAGAAGCTCAGGGCCTGTATCAGGTATTGCTTGCGAACTCGGAAGAGCGCCCAACAAACGTGAAAATCCGTATGAAACTGCGAAAAAATACCATGTCCCACGATATTTGCAAACTTACTGCCGGAGGTGACGGGCCCTATTTCTCGCTCTGCTGGCCTCTTCATATAGCAAAAGCAGGATGGTCACCTCATAATCTTCTGAGAATGGCAATTCATTTACAACTTAAACGTAGCCGCGGCGCAAAAGGTCAACTCATAGAAATCCAAACTACGCTGCGCCTTATACGCCCCATGATGCTCATGAAGAAAAGAGACGGGACGGCGTGATTGTGTGTTGCCTGTCGCGGATTGAATGCCACATCACAAAGTGCGATACGTACAGTGCACTGACGACGCTACTCTCGCAGACTTCCACGATTTCAGTAAACCTAGACCTAATCAGTAAATCGTGGCAAATCAAAATACATTTAGATAGAAAGAAAAGAAGAAGCCTTCAAGCGAACTACCAGTTGGGGTGCTTACGATGGAGTATCGCCAATGCGCTTACCACCCTTCAGAGATCCGTGAGCGGATAGAGTCGTTAGGGCGGATTAGTTCTAAACGGCTCTTGTCTATCTTGGTGTTGGTGACCATTGACTCGCCGGTCCGCAACTCAAGGCTAAGAAACGTAGCTACGTAATCCAGGAGGTGATGATGCAATATCCGTGTCGTACGTATTCTTTCGAATATATTCAAAGGCAGCCGTCAGAGTGAGTATATAGCTGTAATATAGCCTGTCGAGAATTCTCGGTAGCGCTGGTGTAGAAATCACTTCAAGATAGTAACCAACAGCACTGGCCTGATTGAGGATTTACTCTTAGCCTGAATCGAAAGGGCTCGAGGCGGAACAGGTCATCACTTTGCAACGTACGAGGTTTCCAAGATCGCCGGTATTTACAAAACGTTGCAGCATATGTACGAACGTTTCCTTATAGGAAGCGCTCTTAGGTAGCGAAACAGGGATCTCGTAGCCAGTGCAGGGTCTGCTAACTACGGACCTGGAATCGCAGTTTTAAGCACACATGCTGTGTAGTACGTGTTTAGTACGATTACGGGGCTTGAATGGGTGGTCCCCAGTCGTCCCGAAACATTGTTTAACTGACGACAAAGCGTTTGCTCTCTCCTCAGCAGAGTTTTCTATTTATTCGAAATTTTACTTGATGACATACCATCTGATATAAAGGACGCGTAGAGCATTACTCCTGGATAGGGATTTACATACAATAGAGTTAAAGAAATGCCGCGATCATGGCTGACAACGCGACCTGTTTTACATGGCGTGAGTTAACTGTTACCTTAGAGAATACAATGTGGAACACATTCACGAACCTGTTGGGCATCCTCGACGTAACGAATGCAGGGTTCAGGTAAAGCAAGACGTCGTTTGGCCCGCTTTTCGGCCACCATATTGTGTTGTGCGGAGAGCCCTTTCTGGGTGTAGGGACGTCAAGAGCTGAAGTGGCGAGAAATCGTCGGTGTGCAAACCACCGGCACGACTTTTCGCTACGGATTAATGGTAAGAGGTGAAAAAACATCTTAAGTAGGAAATATCCGTCCTGCGGAGATTTAAATACGCAACTCCTTGCGGAAATTGCTCCAGAAATAGCCATTTCTGTGGGCTTTTTACTATTACTAGCGGAATGGCACCATACAGCTATCAAGTTCCACATCTCGAGGACGTCAGCCGACCTTGACCGCGAAGGATGTACGGTCGTATGCTGCGGAACGTACCCCGGTAGCGCGACCAAATGCAAAGTTACGCTACAGTATCATTCTTATGTAAAGGTGACCTTGATCAGTGTATAAGGGTATACATTTTTTATTTCCGACTCCTGGCCCAAGGTGCCCTGTAGTTTTCGGCTTTGGTGTCTCTTTTTGGACATTAACGCAGGAGCCTTGAGCTTCGTAACCATGCGGCCTTTGCGCATGTCCTTCCAACATCGTTCTCATGTACAAGCATTATTTGTTCTCGTGTGCCGCTCAAGATGGTCCTTTGACGGTCGCAAGTTCCAGGCAACTTTCGTTAAAAAGAAATCCCGCAAAAGTATTTTGCGTGTACGTCAAGATTCAAACACGGAACGTCTTTATAGCGATACCGATCCCACGTTAGTAACCATTTGGAGATCTGGTGCCGAGTAAGTGGTATTCGTATTTCGCATATACGCGATAATACATAACTAACGGAAAATGTGCTTTATAGAATATAGACAATACCAAATAGTCGGAGCTATCCTTATTTACCGTTTCAATGTTTTCTTCCCCTTGAATAGAGATTTAGGTATCTCGTCGTGTACATATATTCATTTTTCAAGATTCGTACCATTTTAATGTGATAATGTAATATCCAATATAATAATGCTCGAAACGCTTTACAGGTGAAGTCCCGGCGGGTCTTGATCAATACGAACCGGCCAAACAAGTAACGTATGGCTAGCAACGTCAGTCTAACTGGCCTTCGAATCAAGTACCTCTCGCGATAGTGAGACGCTTCAAACGTTGCTACAGGTGCAAGGGCCTAAAAGCGGCACGATTTGTAGGGTTTTAGAACAATCCTACAAATCGTGATCCTACAAACGCGCCGAAAAAAAAGTTCTAGTAACCAGCATAAACGTAATCAGATCAATCAAAATAGTTTTTTAGGAAATTTATCACCTAATTAGCAGCGATTTAACCAAATCGAGGACGTCGATTTGAACCCGTGGCCATCTAGCAGTGCTAGCTCATTCGCCTACATTCGCATAATTCGATCGTGCGCCTAACTAACATCATATGGAATAGTATTGAACTTATAACTGTCGATTTTAAGGGTCCGATCATGTATGATACATGCCAATATTAGATAGTATATTACTATTATTTGGAAGGTTCGCTAAATTTTCTTCACTTGGTTATTTAGAAATTTGTTTAGATATTTGTTGGGCTTTAATCGTCCCAATAGGTACGTTTCTTAGCTTAGGCTGAATCAGCTTAGGGCTTGAAAAATTCATGAATTATGTAAAAGTTCTGCGCGTTTTTCTTTCGAATCGCTCGTTTTACTAATAGATGACATTGTAAATCAGTATCGAGGTGGTCAAACTTAGATACTAAATGTGTAAGTGGACGCCGTCTGTGTTAGTTCGGTATTTCTTTAGGACTTTGCATAGAACTTTGCCGTTTAACCATGTCGACTGCTGTGTTATTTGAAATAAAACAGGCAATACGTTAATTGTTTTTTTTTGTGCATTCTGTTTAACGCTTTTTGAATATTTGCACAGTAGCGTTCGCCGTTGTTTGCTTCGAAAGTTCTTGCTGACGCGGAGGGGACGGGGTTCAAGAAAAGACCCGGGAGCAGCTAGACTGCCATTGCGCCTCTTTTGGAGATATCTCTACCAAGTAAAGTAACGCGGTTATTTGTTTAATTGCCGATATCAGAAGCATATCCGACTAGCTCTATGGTAATTCGAAGGCTAAATAATAGCAACGCATTATCACTTCTACTTTAATTTACTACAAACTCACTGAGCCAGTCAGTGTTTTTGGATAGAGTTCGGTTGTTTTCTTTCAGCTAATGCTATTCGGTTCCCGTAAAATATTCGTCTACACAATTTATTTCAAAGATGGTCCTGAGGGGTTCGAATACGAAGAGTGGAAACGTCCTGTTTAAACACTCACCCGTACTACACCCGTTCAAAAGAAACCTCGTCAAAGAATTTTCTCATCTATCATATTTATCACATCATGTCTCGCACGTAGCGCCATTCAACTAGAACGGATTTACCTCTGCATTAATATACTAGTAAAATTATCTGAGACACAATAGGAACGTATGCATAACGGGTGAACCTGTAACAAGGGTTGGCCGTCGTGCTTTTCAAGCATTACTTTTCTCAGCGTATGAGTTTTGTTCATCATTTTGTTAATTATTCATAAACGCTCAGGCCTGAGCGCGCTCAGGCTTTATCAGCCATCACTTTTTTCGCACGCAAAACGTACTCATCATCCGCGCGTTCATCGTTGACCAAACCGCCGACTGCATCTGGCCGACGGCCAACGGCCAACCGGCTCGTACGACGGATTTCGAACATTGGTATTTATGTTAAATTAACACTAGTGAAGTAGCGGAAACAGGATTACTGCCGTTGCTGCATCGGTGTTGTGCGGCCGACGGCGTCACGTTGGTGTTAGAGCTACAGGAGATTGTATGAAGTGACATCGAGCGTCGTGGGGAGGTCGAGAACATTTTCTCGCCGAGAACGCCCCTATCCCCTTCCCTATAGGAGAACGAGTCTTCCCGTTATACACGCAGCGTACCCCCTCCCCCTTCGCCTAGCTCAGTTTAGCGCAATGCCCCAGCCAATTGCACGGATGCTTCATTAGGTGTCTGGGCCAATCGCGTAGCTGGGGGGCGGGCCTCTCGCTTGGCTCCGCCTTCGGCACACGCCACACTCCAACTGGCGCTCCATAGAAGAAGAAAAAGAAGAAGCGTTAGGCAGCTAAAGAGCAGCTCTAAGCGGCCAACATTGATGGGTGTTGTTGAATTCCGATTGAATCTTGATCTCAATTTTTGCTGCGACCCGATTTGCGATCGAGGTGTCTTCTACTGGCTAGATTCATATGTTTCACTGTCCGTGGTCAGAGTGCGGTGATTTTCGTGCCTCTTTTACCATAGTGAATGTAACCAGGAGGCCAGCGAGACGGCAAACGTCCAATGTAGGAGTGCGGAGCGAGTTGTTACAGTTTGTATTTAGTAGTCTTCCAGACATTTCCCGAAAGCGTGTTAGTGCCCCATAACAACGGCCACTTGCTCCTTACAAAGTGTCTTCCCTTGTTATTGCCCTTAGCTAGAAAAGACGCGGTCTATGCGTTGATGTCACTGGGCCTCTGGAACGGCAACTTGATGATGAGATAAAGCGATTCAACACTACGACGAGATAGGAACATTGCCTCAAAGAGAAAAAGCGTCTTGTGCGTCTCTTTAGAAACTAATTCGGTTTGCCACTGTCTGTCAGGATACTTTCGAAGCGTGTAGAAGTTCGTCATTGCCAGTCACGAGGGACGTGAATTGAGTAGAAGAGACTGCCTGGGCAAGTGCCGCTAGAACATATAGCATACGGCAGTGCACATGTAAAAATTTCTGTTTGCCTACTGATACCTAGCTAGCTCAAGTCGTCCTACGGAGACATGGCGTTAATACCACTGTAGAAGGACGAGGAAATAACCCGGACCAACAGACTCTGTTCATGACGGCGGTGTTTTACATTAATGCGACATGGTTTGCATGAGGATTTACTAATTGAACATAGAGCACGTTGATTTAAACGATACGAGTTTGAAACGATGGGAGATCACTGATAGCTCTGTGTCATGTATTAAGATCAGTGCTCAGTTCCGGAACAAACGTGATACTTTCGGACTGTCTCTAATACAGTTGGACTAGGACACGTCGATGACCAAACTCTGTCCGATACTCCAGGGTCACCTCTCAGAGAGTTGCAAACCTTCGTCTACTGCAAGATCTGTGTGTTCCAAATACTACTAATTTTGAAATACATCAGTGGTCGAGTAACAACATCGCGAAGGTTGCACATTCAGGGCCTATCAGGCGCCACGAAATTTCGATACCAATGATGCTTGGTATAAGTGGATTCTCGCCCGCGGGGGGCGGTGTCAAAACAAGTGGCCCCAGTCCTGCTGTGAGCAGTGGTTTGTACTGCGGCGGAGCCGAACTGGCTGCTCGAGATCCCCGGAACCTCCGTGAGGATATAGCGATTGCCCCTTTAGCGCTGCCTCTCTCAGGCCATGGTACACCACTTGGCCTAAACGGAGCAACGCCATTATCAGCCGCACATTTAGCAGCTTCAGCCGGAATTGTAAGCATGGTACAAGGCGGTGGAGTCCACAATCCGCATCTAAGCAATGTTGAGTCTAGTGATGATAACAGGTGGGTTCAATTGGCAGGCCGCGCGTTGACAACAATGTTCGTTGTAAAAATCAGTACTAATTTGCGCAGCACCTCTGTTTTTGTGCATATATCATACTGAATAAATTTTAGAATCGTAATCGCTTCCTGAAGTAAATACTGTCTAGATACGACGAGGAGTTGAATTGTCCGATAGTTACCGAGCGTGCATTTTATTGCTTGAATATCTTCAATGTAGCTTCTAAACGTTCCCACACGATCAGCTATGAAGGTTCCATCTACAGTCAAGGAACCAAAATGATAGGACTTTTGCGCGTGTAGAATAGAGGCCTTATTTGTTCGTTACCGATCGCTTTCATTTCATCTGCTCCACATAAAAGACATCCTGATTTGAGCATTGACTAGAAGACTAGTGGACGATTTTGTATCTCAGTCCAGTAGAATGTTGAACCGCTGATGCGAATTCAAATGGTAACGTGGAGGATTTATCGATGCGTGTAGTATACATAACGACACATACACATCTGTAAAACGTCAACAGAATAACATAATTATCTGATATCGTTCCTGTAAACGTATTTACATTTGTGCCAAAGTCGCGTTGGATCCAAATGGAGAACTATTATGGACAAAGTGCCTCATAAGTAAGCATATGTTCCCACTGGACGTTTCTGCGAAGAAATCGAACGAGAGGCTCGTTTTATTTGTCCATACGATCGCTGGTCAATAAGCGAAAAAAAAAAAAAAAAGAAACGCGTTATTAACAATTTCTACGAGCAAAAAATGTTCACAACTTGAAATATATATATATATATTCGATCAAGTAATCATGGTCTTCCTCGTTATTGGATCAGCTCAGTGGCATACAGAATGATCCTCATTGAAGCTTGTCATCGCTGATTTAATGCGCTTTTAATGACCGGAACAACTTAGGCGACGTTCAGAGGGAGAGCGTGTTGCCAGGTTCCCGTCCTGTGGCCAGCTCGTGCCCAGATACGCTGAAGACCTGCTCTCACTTTGGTTTCTTACAGCTGAGGGCTTCTCCACTATCAGCGATCTCGAGAGGCTCGAGATCCGGAATCGCAATGAAGTAGAGGAGGGGTTAACAATGACCGATTGTTGCTGTACTGTGCTGTTATCTATATTCGTCCTCAGATAACCTGTTCCCCCAACAGGTCCGTTGTCTTCGATTGTAATCTCCGATCTTCTATCTCGTCGACGCCAATGTTCGCTCGTTATTGTTGATGCTATTATTACTATTATTATTATTATTCTCTTTCAGCAGATAAAAGAGCTAGCTGGGCGATACCGAGCGAACAGATTTCATCGGGAGATCCTTATCGTAGGCGGAGCGCAACAATGGTGGCACCAAGCGGACTTTAGACGTAGGCTCCGTTAGTGTAGGGCCTCTGGAATCTTCGATTGTCCTAGTTGTAGTTAATCTGACTAATATGCATATATCTACCGATAGCAATAGCTATCAGGAACACCGCAGAGAGACCATTGAGCTTCCCATTCGAACTTAGCATCAATGGAAAAAGACCGCCAGATGTTGCATGTAGAGGATACGTGCATACTGACTGTCTGTGTAGACCGTCACGTTACGCTTGCAGTAGCGTCTCTTCAGTGATGACCTTCGTCTGAGTACGCATGGAGCATATTTGTTACTGGTTTCGCTGGCCGAAAAAGTCGTTTCCATGACAGTGGTTGTCATCGCCAATGAAGCCGAGTAGAGTGTCTAACGATGGCACCTGTCGAGCGTGAACCGAGGCGAAATACTTCTACTTAGCAGACTGATTGAACATGGCAATGATTGCAACACGGAAAAAAGCAGTCATTTTTCAGTCTGATCGGCGTAATCGCTAGACGACATCACTCAAACGTGAACAAATTGAAATGACTATAGATGCTATCTGCCATCATGTAATCTGAGATAGTTGATGACAGAATGCGGTACCGACCCGCTTGAAAATGTCTGCAGGTGATACGTAGGCGTTGGTGGCTTGAAACATACCTTTGATATAAAATGTATGTTTAATGTAAATTAATAATGGTCTATTAGTGGGATCATTCATTTAGATGGCCGTATGTAGCGGTTAACCCTTGCGAATTTTCTGGGCTCGTTCATTGAAATTCAGACATCGTTCGATTATACCAAACGGGATGTCTGACTGATGACTTTCATAGAGCGTTATTAGCGCTGAAGAAGGTGGGACACTACTATCGATTCTGCCCCGTCTGATTAATGCTTGTAGGCATTGTTCTTGAATGATCAGACTGATGACGACCGCTGTTTCTGTTGCTAATCACTGAACTAGATGTTTATTGTTTACGAATAGTAATGAGACGCGTTTCAGCGTCCATAGAAAACGCACGTGTCGTTATTGTGGACAATCGACGAATTTCAGCTTTAGCTAGAAAGGCTCTTCAGGTTTTTTACTGTGCCTCTTTCCGCCATAGCGAGACCAGAGCCAATATGGACCGTCATTGACATTATTGTATCACTACATCGAGAAAAATTCATTTGAAAAAAGCAGACAGCTATCTCTTGCCATGATTAGCTAGTCTCAGCAGTGTCTCACAGCCTTTTATACGATCGACACCATGTAAACGATTTGTACAAGTAACGACAAATGGTCACAGAGCCCGGAAAATATTGCCGAAGCAAGTGTACCATTGCCATGCATTGTAAAATGAAGCCATTTCAAAGCTCTAGTGTGAAAAAGCTATTCAAAGGAAGTGTTAACCATCGTGGATACAGGTTGGCTTTAAGTAAGGAAACTCTTTAGTACTCGAATACAAATATACGCCGAGACCGTACGGCAGCATCGTACAGCTGGTTCTAGTAATTATCACTCACACAGGGCCACAAGTGAGCCCTATCAGAATTCTGAGACTTTTTCATCCTTCGCAACCCTTTTTTGTGACGACTCCCTGCACGCATTACCACTAGAAACCACCGAAAAAAAGTAAACATCAAAAAGAAGAGCCTTTTTCTGTTGACGATGAGGTTGATTTGGAAGAGTTACGAACCCAGCCCACCGAAAGCTGACGTTCCCGCTAAGGCCACAAAAGTACAAAAACGTGTCTTCGTTTAACGATACCATTTGAATCGCCATTGATGTATGTTTGATCGCGTGCATCCGGGGCAATAATATAGTCGATATTAACAAAAGAAAAGTAGATTCATGTAATTCAAATCATAGGCGGGTTTTATGACGTATGAAAAAGCTACCTATGCAATTGAGTTCAGATTCCATATACGTACTTCATACGGATCTTGCGGAATATGTCTAGTTCTTATTTCCTTACGTTGGCCGCAGTCCTGTATTAGAATCCATAATCGGTTCCCTGTTAGTTCCTCGAATGCGTACTGCTATTGTACATCGTATTACTCATTCCACCGAAACAGCTCTAACGAAACAGCCAGTGTTCGAAATTTCTGGATCTCTCGCTTCACAAGTTAGGAACTGTGTCTTCTTAGACAGACCTTTTCGACCCCATCATCCACCCTCCCCGTCCGTTCTCTCCGTGTCTTGTTATTCTTTCCAGTGCTGATAAAGCTACCTTTTTTTTTGAAGCCCCACGTTGGCGAGTTAGAGTTGGGAAAGAAGGATTCATAAAGAGCAAAAGGTTTAGAGTCGAGGGCGGTGTGCTCGCATGCCGCGGGCGGGGGAACAAGTAGCGAGGATCTAGTGGACGCTGCAGCAATACTGACGGCATATGGTGCTTGTTATAGTCCAGCTCCTCGACGTGGTTTTAAGCTGGGTTAGAAACGGGTCCTTCTGCCTCTATATATTCGGCAACACGGATCGAATTCGTGTACGCGATGTGGTCCAACGAATTTCAAAAGAAACGAGATAAACAAGGAAATTTCCGCATTTCCACTTCTAAAATGCTCCAGTTTTAGATGCATGTGTTCCCTCGTTACGACGAATAGAGTGCCCCTAGATGCGCACTGGTGTCCAGTAGTGAGAAGAGAGATTTCCACGTCGAGTCGTAGAAGAAAGAGGACTCTGAGATCTCTGTAGCATTGATAACTACCCCTCATTCTAGTGGCGGGGTGCGCTGCTTGTTGTAAAGTAGATCGTACATCTGTAACGCATGTTAGCACCAAATTCCCAAACATCCGCCTTCCAAACAGCTGTCTTTTTTCACGAGCTGCTATCTTCAATGATTGCGCTTCTTACTGCACATTACTCTCTACTATACGGACGAGATGTAGGATTTCAATAACAGAAATGAATAATCTACACCTTCAACAAGGGGTCGAATCTTTGCGGATTCTCGGTTGTATGCATTCGTGTCTCACGACGTTGTTTGGCCAGACAACGCATCGATGAAAATCGTCGGCATACTAGACAGATTCGTTCGATGCCTATCCTTCCAGAAGTAATGAATTTACTAGCTGAAAAAAAGCTTGATACTAAACTTAAGAATTAGATAATTCGGGCAAGCAGGTCCACAACAAACGTGTTATGGGCGCGCGCGGGGACATACTCACTGTGTATAGACTAGCTAGTTTTCCATAATCTACAGAAGCGGGCAACAATTTGCCACATTTTCGTTATATTCTTGTGCTCGTTAACGGAAAATATCTATTATTCTATATAATGATAGTAATAAAACATATCGTATGTTTACCCTGACTTTCAGCTCGAGCCACGGTCAATCGGATTACTTCGAATTGGAGTCAAATACACAATTCGGTATGCCCATAAGTACAGGAGCATTAAGCTTAGCTGGGCCGCTTTCCGTTCACAACGTCACCAACATTGAGTCAACGCTAGAAAGTCACAATGGCACGACCGCTGATCAGAGCGACGATATAGTTGAAATTAAACATTCGGTAGGTTTGCTTTTTTTTTTTTTTTTTGTAGGAAAAAAAATCACATAGATCTAAGTATTTGTATGATGCTGAACCGCCTATATCTGGGAATATAGGGGGAGCGGGGCTAGAAACCTTGAGAAGAACAATGGTGACGTGGGCACGCTTTTCCAGCTTATAGTAATTTAATGTAGATTAGTGAGCTTTTACATTTGTTGCTATTCATGAGGTTATCACTCGTCAGCGCAGCGTCCATCATCGACGGGCCCGAAGGTTACTATAACGGGTCTTTTACGAAAGTGTTTCTAGTTATTTTGCCTTGAGATAGAAAACTAAATGCAGAAAGGGCAAAAGCAGGCGACCGGAAGCGGATTTCTCGATTGCAGAACCAACTGCAGAGGGCAGATAGTCCGAGCGGATTTTCGGACACACCCAGCCTAAGCAGTAGAATCATAGTGTCGTTGTGATTTTGCAATTCAACTTAGAATGACGAAGGAAAAAATTCATCGAACCGCCTTCGGGCATTGATACAACGTTTTTCGAAGCCATCTTATACTCTGTGGATTTTATATTAAAAACACGCGTTTGTTCCGTATGCTCGTTACGAATCTGTCAATGTGGCGCGATATTGCGCGCTGAAACAAAACGTTTCATCTATTCTGGATGAGATACGATACGCTGGCTTAAACCTGTTTATTAAGAATTTGAAAGTACAACAAATCTAGTCTACGATAAAAATCCGCCCACGAAAATAGTGTGTTTTTAAATCGATGCAAAGCTTTCGAATGGGCCAATGCGAAAGGAACACAGGCTTTAGGTTGAACAACAAACTGACTACAACGTAGTTTTGCCTCCTTCATCTCCGACCACGTGTTCAGTGGGAGATAACGAGGCCAACTTCTAACACTTCATTTTACAATTATTACCGGCGAAAACGCTCGTCGAGTTGGCTCACTGGCGACCTGCCAACAATGGATAAAATCTACCTATTGGGTTTGGTACCAGTTCATCGGCCATGATCTGTTCCACATGTACATTCATATAATGATCGATAATAAGAAACAACTGCTCGTACCATTCCTGTTCTACCCTATGCTACGGCTCTCACTCAAGGGCGGCGTGACCGATCAATCAGTTAAATTGTAAATCGTCTGCATTAACGAAAAATAAGCTGTTATCGGTTGTGCTGTTGTCATGCGGATGCCAACATTCACCTGTTGCTGTTGTTGGCGCTGGTGGCAGCGACATAAAAAGATATTGTTTATACTGTCGCGCTGCTGACGCCACTCCTGCTGGCTCGTATAAATTGTGTACATTCATTTGAATAAACATGAATGCGTACAACAAATGTCTCGTATAATGGCTCAGCTTTTTCCACCCTCCTCTGTTCTGATGAAATAAGGAAACACATAGACGATAGTTCTGTTCCATTCGGATTGTGTTATGGCCTTATTCCACTCGCGGTATTGTCGTTAGCTTCGTCGTTGTCCTGATTGTTGTTAACTGTGCCGTCGACGCACACTTCGAGCTGTTGTATTACCGCAAAAGGGCGTGACTCAGGCTCGCTATGTCTGTCGCCGTTGTTCGCTCCGTTCGGATCGGAGCTGTATGATTTGAGATGATTGCTGCAGTTACGCGGTTCCGTTGCGGATCTCTGATCACGCGGAGCTTTGTGGTTTGCTTGCTGTAGAGGGAAGGTACATTCTAGAGAGGGGCCCAACGCATACGATGACATGCATATGCACATGTATGTACGTGCACAGATAACGAATATGATGACAACGATAACCACTAATCACTCGCCTAATCATAAATGAAAGATAGAGACTACAAAAGGAGGAGGAAGAAGAAGAAGAAGAAGAAACAGTTCTGTAACTTTTCCTCGTTGAAGCGGCTGTGTTATCACAGCCGCTGCCGCTGTCGTCGTCGTCGTCGTTCTCTTCACTCCAGTCGTTTATGCCGTTGTCGCGCACTGTTTCTCCGATTATTGTAGCTATGGTGACAATCGTCGGATCTGCCCGAATCGTTCTTCTTTCTGGCGAAAATCATAGCCGCAACACCATTACGTATGGCATAGATAATGTATCTTAGACGAATAAGCATCAGCTTTTTAGAATAAGTGAAGACGAGTACTATCACCGTTGTGACAGACCGGATCGGGTGTGAGTGTTACTTTACTGGTGATATTTGCACGACTGTTAAGCCGTCGGCTAACTCCCGGGTACAAAAGATAGATAGCTGGATAGAAACGGGGCTGGAACATGATGGGGATGATGAGCAAGATCAAGCTCATATATTGAATGTCATCTCCGATACAATGGTAACAACAAGGTAACTGACGTTGAAAACGAGTATCGTTTCTATTTAAGTAGTTGTTCGGATGACTCGTGTTTTCAGGCAGGTGGGATTTGATGAAACAACCGTAATAATACGGGAAATGTTGCATCTTTTACACATAAATTACATATTTTACTATGACAAAGCGTAGTCGCGTTCTCTGCGTCTATATATCGATGCTTCACAAATCGCTTTTATTAAATGAGTATGGCAACACTGGTACATCGTCGTACGTTGCACATATATACATATATATATATATATATAAGACGCCTAGTACCACTAGATATTTCGAGCTTTGTGTCTGCTACTTGAGCTATTAGGCAATTCGTCAGACGGCTGGCTCCAAGTACAAAACGAAATGTGTTTACGTCCGGATTCGAACCTAGACTATTACGTCTGGGTTCGAATCTGGACGTATATAGGACGAATGTAATATGTAAACACGTCTCACATTACTACACATAGCGATCTTTCTTGCTCCTTGATGCGTCCTTTTCCCAAGTTTGTAACATTAATTAAGGCTATAACGACGCTTTTGGGCTCTTCGTCAAAAATGTTTAAATATCGTCGTTGCGCCCCTGAAGCTGTTATTGCAATAGAAAATTTTCATCATATGCAAAATCAAAGAGACTATCGATACTTATCAAATCTAGCAATGGAAATACTTGTCCACTTTCAGCAAACGTTTGTTCAAAATGGCTCCCCTTTGTCGCACCACGGTAGCCACCAACGAGACTTCGGCCACTCGCCGATTCCCGCCTGTACTGGGCGTAAACGAATGGTCTTCACGCTAGAACAGGTAAGCGCCCATTGCATGCACATGATGGCCTCACGACGTCATCTAGAGAAAATAATCAACAATCGATATTTAAACAGCGTTTTGATCGCTATAGCTTCTGCCACATTATCGAGGCCACATTATCAACGATACTTCAGCTAGCAGCCGAATAGATAAGTGACTGGTCATTATCCCTCTCATTGACCAAATCAGCTAACAGCCAAAGCAGGGAATAGTAGTAGATGAAATCCGCGCAAAAAGATTAAGGGACCTCTTCTCTTTTAACAGGTGGCGTGTCTTTGTGAAGTGCTTCAGCAGTCGGGCAATTTAGATCGTCTGTCTTCGTTTATTTGGTACGTAGGGAGAGCACGAATATGTGTTTTTGCCACGGTTTGTTTGCTATAACGCTTATCTGACGTATCATATGTAGCTTTTCTATCGTAACTTATCAGCAGAAAAAAATTCCTTTGCCTTTTGTTCGTTACTACATGTTGTGTTCAAGTTGATAGACAGTCCGACAAGTAGGCCCAAAGTGTCACGACACGTCGATGGTAAATCCTTTTTCTTTCATCTACCAGGAGTCTTCCCGGAACAGAAGAATTTCAAAGCAGTGAACCTGTTCTTCGTGCGAAGGCCATCGTGGCATTTCGGAAGTGAGTTGTTATCGGACCTTCTACATAAGTCCTATTGTATGATAGGAACGAGATCGTTTTGAAAGCTATACTGCGTCAAAACTCTTTTGACCTTTCTTATAATAGTGACTCGCAGCAACATGGTTAGCATAGGGAGAACATAATATATAGACTCTAGTTGACTCAAACCTCCCAGCCACAGCGCATCATGTCCATGATCTTTCTAGTATCTAACATAAAGCGAGCGGTGTCAGTCGATTCAGAATCCACCCACAGCCGATTCAAGATAGGAAATTGCTTATTTTCTATCCGGATTACATTTCATTTGCTACTTTTATCTCGGAACTAAAATTTAGCCCTAAGGCAAAAGTCGCGTATTCTCATGTTGGGGCCAGTATCAGATAACTTTAGGATAAGCTTAATTTCAATCGATGCAAACTTTTCTTATTCAATAGAGTCACACACAACTACAATTACCCATGTCGAGACAGGGACTTTATTACCTGCCTTTATGAGAACCGCATGCGTTTCTTTGCAACTTTATTCCGTTAAGTTAAACTGCCCCTGACGGCCACTTGTTGTTGCACAGGTGTTCACCAGTCAACAAGCCTATCTAGAATCTGGCGGCAAAAAACTTCTACTCAACTATCAGATGATCTAAGAAAAAAAATATAAATTATAAACTAAGTAATTCTATAAACAATAACACCTAAAAAGGCCTGGTGATTTTTATTCTGTTTCATCAGGTCTATTATCGTCCGTTACTAACTAGGCTCTTTAACGGCACGCCGCCTAAACGTTAAGACCCCAATTGCTCTTTGCATTTTAGTGCTTAAGGACGCATATTATTTATCGAAAGCCTGAAAAAAAAGAGCAAACCTGCTTATTATTTGAATGATTTAAGGGAACATTACAAAGATATGTATTCGATTCTGGAAGGACACTCGTTCCACGCAAAGCATCACGACGAACTTCAGAGAATGTGGTTCGCGGCACACTACAGGTTAGCTGAATAACATAGAAAGATTATTGCGGCATGTCACTGGTCCTAATAATTTAACCCTTAAAGGTCCATCTAAAATTTTGAACTGTCCCAGAAACAGTAACTTTACAGCTCTTAAGTATGTTTTTCATTATTTTCTAAAATAGATGTTTATAATCTGCAATCCGACAGCCGAGCATGAATTTTTGTTGTGGAACCTATTTTGTACAGCGTGCGGTGACTAGAAAGTTCAACGGGCTTACACAATAATCTCTTAAAAAAAAATCTAATATTCATATAGGAATTGATAGATAATCTGTGATTGATTACGACGTCAATAATTCTTTACTATTATTCAATTGGCGGTTGATCGTCGACCCAATTAATTACAGAGAAGCGGAAAAGGTTCGGGGGCGGAAGCTTGGCGCGGTGGATAAGTATCGAATTAGACGGAAGTTTCCTCTACCGAAGACGATCTGGGATGGAGAAGACACTGTTTACTGCTTCAAGGAAAAAAGTCGTCACGCGCTTAAAGAATGTTATAAAATGAATAGGTCAGTGTATTTAAGTTTTTCAAATTGCAGTACTGGTAGAGTACTGGTGTAGTGGATATACACAAGGCAGAAGCAGTAGGGTTTTCCACAAAAAACACCGAAGCTAACTTACTTCACCCACGATGAAGGTACCCGACCCCGGATGAGAAGCGAACACTCGCAGAGAAGACGGGTTTATCGCTCACTCAGATCTCAAACTGGTTCAAGAACAGGAGACAACGAGACCGCACGCCACACGGACACTCCAGGCCGTAAGTAACACTTTCTATTTTATTGGAACGCGGTAAATTGTAAAATTAAATTCCTCTTGTCCCTTTAAAAAATTACAAACTCCATTTAAAATGGTATACATAAACTCGAAAGGGCCCTATTTTATCAAACATGGTGATAATAATAATAATGATAAACGCAACAACATGCACGTATACGTGATTTCCCCCAGAATGTCTTCGATTTAATCAGAGGCGAGCCGACATTACAGCTCCGAGCAGCCGCTAGCCAAACACACGTTGAAGTATCTCGTCGCTATCAACCTCATGATCTGTTAGTAAGAGACTGCAACTTCTGCGGAAACATTTTGAGGATATTGTCTCTTGTTGAACGCAGATCCTTTTTATACGTATTTTGTGATATGGAAGGCGCAAAGAACGACAATTTTTATGTAATTTCAATCTGCTAAATGTTTTTCCCTTTCTTTCTTTTTCCTTCTACCTTTTTAAGCTACCTCATACGGCCTATATAGGCTCCCATCAGCCGATTTTTGACTCGCTTGTCCTGAATGTCTAACAGTAGTAGAATGTCAAAAGAAGTTTCAATTAATCAAATAGCCATGCGGTTTTCTCCATTCAACTCGACGTTCGCTTCTTGCGAAACAGCGAGGTAGATAAAATGAGCCTTGCTCTAGGCCCAACTGTGAGCCCGCATTTGGCGGTGCATCCTCCCGGAAAGTTGAAGTCGGCCCTTTGTGAATAGAACACGAATTACAGAAGCTTTTGAAGAGCAACAGCAACATCATCGTCTCCACTGTTCTTATTCATGTTGATGATGATGGTAGGCCCGATAACTGCATGAGAACAAGAATCGTAGTACTGCTATTCGCGTTGTCATCGTTGGCGGCCCCACTTCAACCAGTTTGAGTGACATGTCGCCCGTGGACCAAAAGATGATCACCCCTCACTTCCATGTCGGTAGTTGTCGGCTACCGGTCCGTGCGTCGATTTCGACATATTGACAGGAACTTCAACGCTGAACTGAGCACCTTGGCTAGAGAAATCGATTAGGCTTTGCTGATATACACATTTTGTGCTAGTATGTTTCGTGTAGAACGATCTCGCCATAAACCCTGAGCCAATATAGAAGGGTTAGAACCTCTTCTCCTCGTTAGCCTGAGACGTAGAGAAGCCTGATTGGGGTTGCTCGCTTCATTACTTGAACCGAAGTCGAACACACACAAATGATCTGATAAAATTTTATAAACCTCTTCGTCCGAATGATCGCTCTATTGTGTCCCGATTGTATACCCCGCTGTAAAATTATCCAGCTGTTTTTTTTTTTGAATAGTAATCCCGAATTTCTTATAGCTTATTACACTTTGGACTTAGCGCGTCGCTAACTTGTTATCCAATGTTAACTAGACATACTATCATGAACATATTCCGTTTCTGCAGTGAATCAACTCAGGGACAGGAACATGCGGAAAAAAGTTATTTTTAATCCAATCTATTTGTTGACCAAGTTGATGCCCATTATCCTTGTTTATGCCCATCCTATGTCGTCCTGAGTTCGGCGATACTTTATTTCATCGTATGAACAAGGTATCGGGTAATTCTAACAGAATTTATAGCCAAAACGCGATTGACGATTGTAATCCTCCATTTTATCCAGGCTGCAAACGTTGTACAACGACAAATCACAGTTTCTTCGCATCGAACTCTTCTATCAGTGAGAGTAGACCTTCCCGTTTCGAACGTTCCTTTGCGAGACGATCTGCAAAACGCAATTAACTGCATTGCTTGAATGAGGTCATCTGCCAATTTACGTGACATAGTCTACGCTACGTTTTTTTTTTAGTTTATCTACGACAAAAACAGGGTCCTTTGGGAATTACCCAGCGCAACTGGCAAGATGCACGCTATTATCTTGCTGACACACTTATTGTTTTTCTGACTCGCTACCTTCACACTCAGGAGGTTTCGGGTTAAATCCTTAGACCTTTAGTTTTTTCGGTTGCTTATTCATTTCAAGTAAAATATATTGAAATCCAGAGGGCACGATTGGCACAGGTGGCGAGAAAGGAGCAATGAGTTTGTGCAAACGCTAAAAAACAGTTGCATATTCCTCTACAATATATAGGACCATATTTGTTTACCTAATTCACAGGTAAATAGCTGAAACGCTGAGAAGTACACTGGAGATCCTCTCTCTCTGTTGGTGTAATTTAAACTCTACTATATGGCTGTGCTCGTACTCAGCACTGTGAGTCAAAAGAATAATTCACGCAAATGGTATAACCCTTATTACCGTTAGTGCTTACTGTAATCATCGAAGATCAGACAGGATGTCGCCATTTACCGAGTGAACCATCAATGCATTTATAACAGCCATGTAACAGAGTTACATGAAACAAAATACCCGTGCACTAGTAAAAAGCAAGTGAGATCTGAATTTCCGTTGTTTCCCCTTCAGAGATTGACAACAATTCTACACCACTCTGAAAGCTACTAGACTATTCGAGTATATTGATTGGCTATGTTGACACTCTTAAGAGACCCCTTAGAAGGGAGAAGCTATCTAAGGATTAGGAAACGAGCTTCGGGTAGTTCAGTGCATGTTTACGGCGCGAGATCGCTATCACCGAGATACGATGCGCGACGTTTCTACAAGCTATGCGTTCTCCCAAAAAAGTGTTGAATATTGCTCCCCCACTTTTCCCATAGACATTGTATCAGACTCAATTATCCGCTGCGTCCGATCATGTCACTGACGCGGCATGATTTCACTCAGCCACAATGCTGGTTATGATACAAAACATTTTATGCGTGTATACATGTAAAAAGGGGGAATGCACACGCCTATTTTGCTAAGGGTGTGTCATCTGTATGACTGCCGTAGTTGTCCGGTTGCCAAGGGTTCACGCACAAGCAACTGTTCCCGGTGGGGCTTAGATCTTCCTCTACATCCCTAACCCTCCTTTTTGGCCATCTGTTGCCCGTTTGCTGGTTCTCGCAACGACTCCTTCGCGCTAGGGGTTGCTCGCGCCCACCTCCGCTATCATTATCAAATCGGGCAACTAGCAAAGGTGATTAGATGACATCACCGACCCGCCGTCTGCTGTCAGCGATATAGCGTGTTAGCTAAAAGCAGAGATTAGCTAAACTATACAGTTTTCGTCGATCAAAACGCAACTTGAGACAACTGAAGCATTAGTAAGATACGCAGAATGTTCTCATATTTGTAGACGTTTGTTCAGCCAGTGGCGGCGGCGGCGGCGGCGGCAGCAAGCTGCGCCTCGGAATCAATCTCAGTGCCTACTCACAGACTTATTGAATACATTATATAAAAGTATTGATCTGCCATTGACGGCACGATTATTTGCTTGCTATCATTGATTGGAATCGAAGTAGACCGCAGTGCGATGTCCTGTAACGGACTATAGGAAGCAATCAATCTAGCAGTATTCGATGACGCTTCGTGGCTAGCTGTGAACACGTGCCGTGGTCATTGATGGCACGATCATGCAGGTAGTTGATGCATGCGATTCAGCTAAACGTATGCACGCAGCAGTTTCAGATGGCAACATTAGCTCAAGGTTCTGGCCTCTATTCGATAAGATCTTATTGTGTGGATGCGTGGGCGTGATATTTGTGACAAGTCACCGCCGGTGTCCAACTCCGTGGATATCGTTATTGGTCTACCGATTATTTGCGTGGATCAACTCGCACGATGTGTTGATGATACTGCGCGCCGTGATTCAAGAAAAAGTGCGACAATTTCTACCTGTTTTCATCCGTCGAATAGGTTTTTTCCATTTGTTTTCTATGTATACATTAGTAATCGCGGTTCGCTTGATCATCGCCCATCCGCCGTGGTGGATTTTCACGCCATTTTCGCCTTTAACCTATCGCCCGTTTGTCGTTACCACTCCCGAGTTCCGTTGAAAAGACAAAAAGGGTTCATGAGCGACCATTGATCGAAAGAGATATAGAAAGTGGTCCCTATTCATGCCGCAAGTTCATCGCGGTCTCACAGCTCGGACCTCGTTCGCGCTCGAAGCTCATGATGCCTCTGCCACTGCTACGACGACGCGGCCGCCACCGTTGCGTCGCAGCAGAGCCATTAGCAGTCGTTGGAGAGTGGATATTTCAACGTTCGCAGAAGCCGCTCGTCGGCGGCGACGGCGGAACTGCTTGGCCGTTGACTGGTTGAGAGGAGAGCTCGCCGGCACCGCGTCCGCCGCTTTCCTGTTCGGTAGTTTTGGCGATTGGCGACTGTGTCGTGTTTTGCTGTGCTGTGTTTACGACGGCGACGGATGGTCGAACGGTGTCGCCGTCCGTCGCCGCTGCTGCTGTCGCCGCCGCCGCCGCCGCCGCCGCCGCCGCCGCCGCTGTCGCCATCGTCCTCTGATGCTGTTGGCGGAGGGGGAGGGGGGCCGACCGGCAGCCAAAACCAGAGGCAGCGCGTCATCGTCGTTCCTTCGCCTGCCGGTCGTTTACTCGCTCCTTCACGAGGTTTCAGGTTACCGCGGGCGAGAGTAACGCGTGATGATGGTCATGATGATGGCAGCTGTAACCTGAGATATCGCTGCCAGCGGCCGCTGCCTTCACCGTAGCGAATGGTCGGTTTGTCGACGACGACGACGACGACAATGGGGACGGTGGGGAGAACGATCGAAGCGCCACCGGCGACTGTTACCAGCATCATGCAGACAAACATAAGCCGACGAGATATACATACAAATCTACATATACATAGCATACAAATATAAAGCCGAACGTCGACACGGCCACATACATACACATAGGGGAGGATGCAAATAACGATGAAGATGAGGCTGAGAACTATGGCGATGAGAAGTGTGGCAGCAGTTCATCGAGTGCGCATTGCTGATGCGCCGAGCGGCCGCTTCTTCCGCAGCCGGTCGCTTGGCCGTTCGATCGACACCAGCGACAGCGCCCGTCTGTCTTTCTATCTGCCCGCCCGCCCGTCCGTCCGTCCGTCCGTCCGCCTGCCTGCCTGCCTGCCTGCCTATTGA